GCCTTCCCTCTAGTCTTACACTGCTAATTAGGGACGGCTAGCGCAGATAGCCCTCGTGTAGCTTTGCGCGAAATTCCAAAACAAACCATAATATTTATAACGCCAGCAAGGCAGAAAAGTCGGGTATGTATGGCGACGAGTTTTGATCCCACGAGTCATAGATTGCGAGTCGAGTGCCGTAATTATCAGGTCTTGATACTGATAAAATTAGGGAAGTCAGAACAGTTGAATATTAAAGAAATTGTTCTCAGACACGAAATAAAAATTAGTTCGCTTACGTTTGTAATTACTGTTCACATATCTAGTGGCTACAGAAAATATTTATGTAAAGAGGCTTCATTATTGATTATAAGTTCTAACTGAAACACTACCTTAAAGTCGTTATTTGCAGTTCTAACAATATCACATCAGTACGGTCTACAATATGCCCGGTACGTGCTTGGTAATTCAGAGTTGAATCTGCACTCTGAGCTAGAAACGCTTACAAGTAATCAAAGTTTCGTGCCAGTCACTTAGTCTGATTCAGCATATTCACAAAATACACGTTTTTTCAGGAAGTGCAAAATCTAATGTGGAGTTTGAATATAAGATGCTCCAAAAATCGTAATATACCCACACAAATAATACATTTGGAGACCTGTTTAATTCACAATGTTTGTTAGGGTGTGTCACATGAAATATTTTATGTCATTATAAGAAGTTAAAGATTAAATGAGACACGTGGTCTCAGATTGAAAACCAAAATTCTCAGAAACATTAGAGAATTATAACATCTCCGCGTGTCATGTAATCATGTATACTATGATATCAATTATTTTCGTGATATTAAAACAATAAAGAAATTAGTCGTTAGTTTTACACTTATTTTGTTTTGTTCGCCATTGTAAACTGGAATATAGCTAATGATTAAGTTATCCTTGCAAAATAATATACAAAACCGATCCTTACATGACGGAAATAAGTTAGTTAATATATATATATATATATATACAAAACCGATCTTTATATGATGGAAATGAGTTAGTTATATATATACAAAACCGATCTTTATATGATGGAAATAAGCTAGTTATATATCTACAAACCGATCTTTATATGATGGAAATAAGTTAGTTATATATCTACAAAACCAATATAAAGATCGGATTTGTAGATATATAACTAACTTATTTCCATCATATAAAGATGATGGAAATAAGTTAGTTATATATCACAAAACTGATCTTTATATGATGGAAATAAGTTAGTTATATATATACAAATCCGATCCTTATACGATGGAAATAAGTTAGTTATATATCTACAAACCGATCTTTATATGATGATCAAAGTTTTGCAGGATATCCTATTTTGTCATGAAGTCAAATAAATGAAACGTTGTCAGGAAGAGAAAACAGTTCAAAGTTTCATGTTATTCGTTTGTTTAATGAAGTTCTAACTTCCCACTATAGTTGTCTTGTTTTATTCAAACAAAAAATATAATTCAATAAGTTTTGTGTCCGTTAATGTCTATTAAAGGATAGGTTTTGTTAATATGTTGAAATTTACTTTTTAATAGCCTAATGAGAAAAATAATTACATATAATTAAAAGAAATCAATTACTTAATTCAGTAATACATATTTCCTGTATTTTGGGGATAATAAAGTATTTAAATGTTGCCAAGCAAGAGCTCGTAACTTGCACGTTTTTGACAAAATATATTGACTTGATGAGGGTATCGACGATTCAATGAAGGCGCATAAGTGGGCGTGGCGGCAGGTGGAAAAGTCAAGAGAGGTTTTTCCAACAACCGTGTACCGGTGTTGGTGACGAACTTTGATGAAATGTCTACTTTATAGGCGAGAGTACTTGTGGCATTACAGTGCCCCCCTGTCATTCTTCGTTTGCCAAACTGTAGAAGTCGCACGCAAAGTGCGTATTTTAAATCTAGTAAAAATAAATTTCGCTAAACTCTGCAGATTGATCAGAAACCGTACGCTTAAATGATTAGGTCTATGAATGTAGAATGTGACGAATTTAGTAGTTGACACGCCAGACTAGTTCAGTAAATGACGAATTTAGTAGTTGACACGCCAGACTAGTTCAGTAAATGACGAATTTAGTAGTTGACACGCCAGACTAGTTCAGTAAATGACGAATTTAGTAGTTGACACGCCAGACTAGTTCAGTAAATGACCCATCGGTAGTTTCCCTTTCCGTACAAGAATACCATCTGCAAGCCTCAACTGGTCCCATTGTGCCCAATAGTGCTTTGTCGCGGGGCTTAGACTAGACACCTGCTCCCAAGTAGGGCGCACAACACTCGCTTTTAGAAAATCAATCATTGACCTCAAATCTTGGTCTTTCTCCTGTTCTGCCTTGATATCTATATTTGGTTCTACTTCACCATCATCAACTCTTTCAGTCGGC